CACTAATACTTGTCAGTTTAATACACAAAAGGCCATTTGTTTATATTTGGCCCCAGGTATAAATCTACTTGCCCTCTCCTGCTATTATTTGCTGTGAAGATGTACGCATGCACATATTAATGTGCGCTTATTGCGCTCCAAAAAAAGGAACTATAATATAAATATACATATTTTGTATTTTCTTGTTTTATTATTTTTATATTAAATAAAGCAGAATTTACATCTGTGAGTGTAACCCAATAAGCCCACATTAACCATTTTTAAACAATGTTGCACTATTATATGTCTTTATGTTTTTGTAGATTAACAGCTGTATCCTCTATATTGCCTTGGTTGCATTTATATCTATATCACACATTGATCCATGCAGACACACACCAACCCATGCAGACACACTCACACTAACCCATGCAGACACACACACACACACACACACTGTCCCATGTAGCCACACACTGGCCTATGCAGACATATATTGATCCATGCAGACACGCACACACTGACACATTCAGACACACATTGACCCATGCAGATGCACACACACACAGACTTTGGTGGGCACAGGTGGCTGGCCCATGGGTTGGGCAAGGCAAGGCAGGGAGCTGGCATTGGCCACTAGCTGGAATGAGAAGGTGAGAAGGATTGATTTTTTTTTATTGACAGTGATGTCATAGGCCCACCCACTCTCCTCAGATCAGTACAACGGCTCAGAAGCACGGAAGGAGAAAAGGCAGGTATGTAGTCTCCTTCTCGAGCAGGCTGGATGCTGCACACACAGCCACAACTCAGCATGAGCATGGGCTAGCCGGTGAGGGAGATCTTTGATCTCCTCACCAGCCATGCCACCCCTCTTGTGCCTGCTGCCCCTATGCCATGGCCTTGGTGACCTTATAGGAAAATCTGGTCCTGGGGGCATTCAGTATTTTATTTTCATCTTCCACATGTTCTGTTTAAAGAATGAAGGGCATCATGCCTGGTACCCGTGTCAATTTCTACAGGTCATCTTTGAAAGGTGTAAAGATAAGAAGATTTCCCTACTTACTCAC